TTCTTACAACTCAAAGAATATCATTAAAGACCATGAAGACAAAGTGAAGATTTTTATCGATTAGTGTTTATAAGCTCTAGGAATAAAGGAAGATAAAGAGATAATATTATTATAAGCACAAAATTATCTTTATCTTTCAAAATTAATTTTGAAATATTTTGATTAAAAATTTTAGAGAGAAAGAGTCTTTAATCATTGTGTTTCACAAAAATCCAAATGAAAAGGTTTTTGGGAAAATATTTTGGACGCTGTTGAATGCACTTTCTGCAAAAAGCAATTTTGTTCTGACAAAGCTAACATATTCTGATAAAAAAGCAATCTGGTTTTCTAAAACTGTCTACCCACCTACCCAGTCTTGCGTGTGTGGACAAAAAGGAAATCTGACAACTTTTTCAAATCTATCCCATGTTAGAAGCTCACCTTGCCTTTTGAAGATATACCCAATATTTATAACGGGAATATCATTCCCTTTTGTATAAAATGTCTCTCTCTCTCAAAAACGTTTTGCAAGAGTAAGAGATAATATTTTTAAATATTCAAAAACATTCAAGCTCTTCTCTTCAGCCCCCTTATTTCTTTTTTTCACTATTCTTTCAGAAATATGTTTTAGAGAAAAGAAATGTTATCACAACTCTTTTGAAGAACAGTTCTGATCTCATTTTCTGTTTTGAAATCTGTTTTGTCTTGTGCTTATAATTGCATTTCTGTCTGTCTATATGGATTTGTTGAATCTGTTATAGGCTAAAAATTTTTAATGAAAAACACATGTATAGCTTAGTAGGCGGATTAGTACCAAAACACTATAGATACTTGTGTTAATCTTCTTTTAATTTCTAAGAACTTGGTTGATTATACTTATCCAAATTGCACATCTTTTTATGTTTTCTTAAATGCAAAGTTGTCCATAATTTTCTAATTCTGAAAGTGTACAAGCTTCATCTTTATGGATTAATAGAATTCTGGATTTCAGTACTATGATTTCTTCAAGTTCTAATTTACCCTAACACATTACGAAGAAATTAAAATCTGAGTTATAATCAGTATTTTAATCTTCTGTAAGTTTTATGAGAAAGTTTTAATTGTAATAACTGACTCTCATATAATGACTTTCTATCTCCGTTGCTTTAAAATTTTGACTTGAGTTTTAAAATTTAAATTTTATAAAGTCGAATTAACCTCTTCTTGGATTGTGTCATATAAAATGGGACCTACAATATTGTTAATCATTAAAATACAAAGATAGATAACTGTTAGCCAACACCAAAGAAGGGTATAGGCTAAAAATTTTGGCTAATGAAAAAACTAACTAACAAGTCGATAATGCATGGATTAGATGAGGTAATTTTAAAAACTTCGGTCTTTACTAATATATTTGACTAAACTTTGGAGACGGTATAGTAATTACCCCTGCTATAGTAATTACCCCTTTCTTTTTTAACCTTTAACTAAAGCAGTTGGACTCTCTATGTAAAGATATGATTGCTTAAGTTGAATTTTACTGGATTTTAATAGTCACAAATCCAATCTTCAACTGCGCTTCTGAATCTATTTCATACTCCCTTTTAACTAGTATTAAAGTTCAATGCAATATTGTCCCTAGTAAAAAAACAAAATTACAATGCAGTAGCATGCAATTGGGTTTATACGCCCACATGTCTTTTAAATCGAAATTAAAAAATTAATTTGAAAAATTTGAAACCCAAATCTAATCCCGAAATAAAAAATTTAAATAACACAAATTCAAATCTCATAAAATTAAAAACTAAACCCAAAAAGTAAAAATTATTTTGCATATGTTTATTTTATTTGAAAGAAAATTGCCAAAAATGTTTAGCATAAATTTACATGTGATATTCTTAACATAAAACACATCTATCTTTATTTTAATGTGTTATAAATATCCAAAGAAAAATCATAAGAAATACTAATTTTAATATAAATTTTTATTAACTGTCTCATTTTATTGGTATTTTGATTATGATAGTTATCTTATACCTATCGCATTTGGAATTTCGCGTCTCTTAAGAAAACTATTAAATTTATTTAAGTTACAATAAATTATTGAGTAAATTGATTATATTACTCTTAATTTAGTACATCCAAACACCAAATTTTGAAGTTTTGAAGCAATAATTGTTGGTCATAGACAAAGGGTAAATATTAAAAAAAATTTATTACTCATTAAACTACAAATATGATAAATATGTTGAAATATAATATTTTCTCAAATATGAGAAGTATTTAGGAAGGGAGGTAGTATTAGTTTGCTATATGGATTGTTCCATAGAGAATACAACACTAACATGAAAATATAAGTACCAATCAAAATTTTATTCTTATTATTTCATTGGTTTCTAAATACTTATCACATTTATGTTTTCACGTTCTTTAAGAAAATCATCAATTTGTCTAAATTACAATAAATTATTGAGTGAATTGACTATAGTACCCTTAATTTGTCTAAATTATACTCTTTCTGTTTCACTTTATTAGTAACAAATTAGTATTCTAATTTGTTCCACTTTAAATGCTCATTTAGGATTTTGAGAGTGTATTAATTATTTTTTTCAATTTTATCAATATTATTAGGAGTTTTCTAGCAAAATTAATAGAAAGTTTTTAATTTTTTAAAAAATTAATGTGTTCCAATCAAATTATGCTATTAAAGTGGAACAGAGGTAATAATAAATTATTAAAAAAGTGAAGCAATCACTATTGGTCGAATATTAAAAGCGTAAAAATGAAAAAAATAATTTATTATTTATAAAATCTACAAATATAACAAGTATTCAAATATTTGGAAACAGTAGGAGTATTATATTTTCACAAACATTTTTCATTAATAATTAAAAACTCAAAAATGTTAAAGTTGGATTCGAAAGAAGGAAACAAGAAATGTCCACTTTAAATTCCCAGCAGTACAATACAGCAAATACTGACAACTTTTGTAGAGACAAATATACAACAATTCAGAAGCATGTTTTTTACTAGTTGCGAGAAGTTAAATTAAATTATCTGGACATGAAACATACTATAGCAGATTCAACGTTACATGGAAACAGTAGAGTTATTTTGCTGAAATCTCACATTCATATGAGTTTTTTCCCATATAATTTTTGCAACCAAACACTTCACAAAAGTTGTGTGTACTTTGTTTGATGTATGTAATGCATAGGATTGATAAAATAGCAGAACAACTATTTTGTGTGATGCAGCTATTTTTATTTTTCAGTATCAATTTAGCTCAAGATATAAAAAAAAATTATATTCTTAGATTTTGATTAAAATTTTAAAAACATAGTACTTTTTATTTATAACAAGTATTTCCAAAAATTTATAAAATGCAATTTCAAAAAATGTAATATAATTAAATTAACCATAATGCATATTCAGATTTGACTGAAATAGGGCATGTAAAAGACTGGAGAATGGAGACTCTTTTGTGCTTGACCATATGTGCTAATTTGAAAATCCAGGTGCAAAACTGGAACTAGCAATTATAACTAATACTGTTCATAATATATGTGAAAGTGCAAGTTTCTCAAAACTTGATGGAAATCCATTTGGTTTGTATTTGTTGTTATTTGAAATATTAATAATTGATGCTCTCTCTTTAAATGGTCCCCATTAGGTACAGTCAAATACAAAAACGGATGGAATGCAATGGAAGGGTAATACAGTTTGTCTAAAACAATCATGACCTGATATTTGAGAGAATATTCCAAAACTGAAAAGTGAAGATAAAAAGCAAAGCATGTACATTTTGTAAGTGTAACAAACTGAAAAAAGTGACATAAGCAAAACAGCCAAAAGGCAACTCAAACAAAAACCACTTTTCAAATATATACAAAAACAAATCCCATCAATGCATTATTATGATAATCACTCCAAACAAAGCAAAATTGACACAGTTTCACTACCTGAACAGTGCATTATTATTATTATTATTATAAATTTTATTAAGATTCAATTTGTTTAGAAAAATAATTTATCGGGAAAAATATTTTTGAATTTTTAATATTTATAGAATTTTAAAAAAATAGTTGTTGAAAATACTTTTCTAGCCAAATTAAGTCATTTTAAATCAAAACATTTTTTTATATGCACATTTATAATTTCATATACACATTTAAAAAAAAATCATGGAACCGAAACCTAAAAAATGACAAATTTATTATAATTTTATATACACACTTATTTAATTTAATAATCACCACCAATTATTAGCCACCATCACACTGATCATTAATCATGTTATGATAATCGATATTTTTATTTTTTTTCATATTTAATAATAAAATTTTGAAATATGAAATTTATATAATTCTAAATATTTTTATAATCTTTGATATTTTTAACTAATTTTTAATCTTACAATATATTTTTTTGGTATAATCGAAGGTGTAAAAATAAAAATTTCTTTATCGTCTCAGTAAAATGAGATTCTTCACTGAAATTAGGGCCTCTTACTTGATGCACTTAATTCGGAAAGTCATTGTCATTCTTTAGACCGATGGTATGACACCCCCTTCCCATTGGTTATTGTTTTTGAAGGTAACAATTTACATATTATAACAGTAAACGAATGTTAAAAAAAAGTGATTATATGTATTACATAATAGGTAGTAAATTAGTTTTAGAAATAAATTAAATAGAAAGAATGAGAAAAAATATAAATGGAAAGAAAGAGTTGAACTTTCATATATATATATATAGAGAGAGAGAGAGAGAGAGAGAGAGAGAGAGAGAGAGAGAGAGAGAATTAGTTTTAGAAATTAAATAAAATAGAAAGAATGAGAAAAAAATATAGAATTGGAAAGAAAGAGTTGAACTTTCATAATATAATATAAGAGAGAAAGAGAGAGAGAGAGAGAGTAGAGAGCAGAGAGAGAAGAGAGGAAGGATAGGACGACATGGAGGGGTATCTATAAAAATGGAATATATATATATAGAGAGAGAGAGAGAGAGAGAGAGAGAGAGAGAGAGAGAGAGAGGAAGGATAGGACGACATGGAGGGTATATATAAAATGGAATTTAATTTAGCTTCTTAAACAAATTGAGACAAATAAAAAGCTGTACTATACAAATAACAAACATCCATCCTTCTAAATTAGGAAATGTAGCATGCGTTCTAGATGTTACCTCGTGTAACTTTATCGATTCTCTTTCTCTCTCTCTCTTTCTCTTTCTTTCTCTTTCTTGCTATGGCTTCAAACGAACCCACTGGTAACGGCCTTCCAGTGGCACATCCTTCGCTACATCATAGTTATACCTAAAAATGCCAAAAAATTTGTTAGTTAGTTATCGTTCGATTCTCCGCACGCTAAAATGCGCCACCTAGTGACGTTGCATATCCTACGCATTCTTCTCCAACTTACTTCTCTGCAAATCGTTTTTGCTCTTTTTTCTCTGCTTCCGCGAAAAACTCATCGATCTCCGCCTGAGTCGGCATTTTCTCCGACTGAAAACATTTTCTACCAGACTTTCCCTTTGCCGCCGGTGCGTCCATCTCGTCTGTGTCTCCTTGAAACTCGCTTGAAGGAGTTGTCTCTCTGCTGCAAATTTATGTATATATGTAAAGATGAAGAGAGAGAATTAAAACGGTTCATTTTGGTGTATTTAGTAACTAGAAAAGAACACAATAAAGGAAATAAACCTGAATTTGCTGTGATCGAACGATGAGCTTTCAGTTTCAAAACTCTTGACCTGCAATATATGGAAACGTTCAATAAATTAATAAATAACTTTTAGGCTATGTTTGGATCGAGAGAAAAATGTAGAGGAAAGAAAATAATTAAAGAAAATAAATAAATGTGGGATTGGTTCGATTTTAAACATAAAAAACGGAAATTCAAAGAGTAAATTAGCGACTCCCTTTAATTTCTGCAAAAAAGCAAACAGTATTAAATGAAAAGCTTCACTTGAACTTATGCGTTTTCCAATTTCTTCTTAATTACGAGTTTAAAACTCTGTTTTCAGTTCATTTTCCTTCGTTATATCAGAAAACAAACAGAAGTAAATTGCAAAAATTATCATATCCTAAACTCAACCTTCGTTTGCTAACGTAGAAAACGAAAGAAAATTGTTATTAATAATATACTTAGGTTTGAAATTGGAATTCACCTTCAGATCTACAAAACTCGAGCTATCCTTCACAATCACGCTGGACTCAATGCAGAATGAGGAATGAGAAGCTTCAGAATCGACAGAGTATAAATCGTCGGCAAGAAATCCACCGGAATTGGACGAAGATAAGGTCGAAATAGTTTCATATGGAGATGATATTGAGTAAAAACGATTATCCTGAATTTCATAACTCCATGAAGGTAATTTGAATTCTTCAAAGCTAAATTCCGAATCTATTTTCATTTTCTTTGAGAAGTTTGTGGTCGAAGATTTCATAGCTTGTATCGCTGCTCTTCGCTTATTGCTGTCCCTCATTTTTCTTCTCTCTCTAATTCTTTTTCTTTCCTACCCTTTTTTTTTTTTTTCAAAAAACAAATTTCTGATTCTGTAGCTTTTGGTTTGACGAAGACTGCAGAGCAGAGAGGTTAAAAACTGAGTGGTCTGGTCTCTGGTGATGGATTGATAGCCGTGGATGTTACTTTAACGGCTGAGATTACATTCCTTGAAATTTATAAAATGGTCCCCACTCCGTCAACGGTGATCAGAAATTACAATTAGTTTGGTTTCGGAGTCCGGTGGTTGACTCTGCCTAAAAAAAGCATTGACAAATTTGTTAATTTATTTAAAAAAAAGTATAATTCATTATAAAATATATAATTAAGTTTCAAAATATTTATCTCTTCATTTTTGCAAAGTTAATGATACCATTGCCTTATATTTTGAAGATAATCGTTGTAATAAGATTTTTTTTTTTTTAAAAATATCGTTCATAAATGCTTGTTTGATAATAGGGAAAATAATTATTTCATTCTCAAGGTTTTATAAAATTAATTAACTCATCCTCGCACTTTTATATATTGGTTGTTTAGTCTTTGAGGTTTGATTCCATCACATAAAATAGTCATTCTGTCCGAAATGGTCCTTTTATCCGAAATCAATTAATTTTTCCGAGAATAAAAAATAAAAGAGATGTGAGAAAAATTTTTTAAAATAACATAAGCTATCCTTAATAAAATCCAAAGGACCCATCTTCAATAAACCATTTCACAAACAAATCATCGCGAGAATCACAAATGGCTGTAGCCACCATCGCAGCCGCCGCCACAGCCATTGCTGCCAACAAAAGAGACCTTGCAATCTTATGTGATATTAGTTTTGAGGGAAAAAAGAAAATATGAACACTGTAACACCCTCTGCACAGTCCCCTGAGACTTGACAGCGGATACCACATTCGGTGTCGGAGACACGTCTTAACTTAACATATAATATTTTTTTATAAATAATCATTTCATTTCGTTTTAATTTTTTTTTTTTGAAAAACAGATTGGGAAAAAATCCTACAGAAATACTGGAAGAATTTCCCTTTAAAAACTGAGCTTGCCAAATATGTGAATACAAAACACTCCCAATTAAATTCCAAACTCCCAACATCTCCAAATAATCATCATAACACGACAACACTTCTATATTTTCATAACTATATAAATCCTCAATAGCATTTTAATTATATCAAGTCTTAATAAATTAATCATACCAACTCTCTTCAAATATTTTATATTCAATCATTTAATGAATCTTATGCTTATCTCCAAATATATACACCAACATAAATTAATCATACCAACTCTCTTCAAATATTTTATATTCAATCATTTAATGAATCTTATGCTTATCTCCAAATATATACACCAACATAATTAATAATTACATGCTTAAGTTGTAATTCAAATAACATAATCTCTGAAAATTTAATAATTATGCATGCCATAATTCTTAATTACATAAATCTTAATCTACTACTAGCACAATAGTCTCATTTAATGAATCTTATGCTTATCTCCAAATATATACACTAACACAATTGATAATTACATGTTTAAGTTGTAATTCAAATAACATAATCTCTGAAAATATAATAATTATGCATGCCATAATTCTTAATTACATAAATCTCAATCTACTACTAGCACATCTACTACTAGCACAATAGTCTCTTTTGTTCTGATACTACTTTTCTAGTCTTTAAGCAGCAACCACGATCCTTAATCTTAAAATTCAGTAGTGCTCATAATTCACATACTTACTAAAGTTGCGATGACAATAAAACAGAAATTACATAAAATCATTTACAATTATAAAATCATTAAATTTCAACATACATTTACATTTATAGCAAAAAAAATATTAAATAAACTATTAATTAATAACAAATACATAAATAATTTAATATCTTTATACCATAAAGTTCTTTACTTAAACCCATTTAATCAATAAATACGTTAGTTCCTTTTACTTAGAATATCAAATAACTTATAATTAATAACATAACTAATTTAATTTCTATTCTTTCAACTCATAAATTCATTACTTGCACATTTATTATACTAATACATATACTATTTATTTTTAAAATCATGTACCGAAATATCATGCTTTGAAATATTTGATAACATAATCATTAATTTCCAAAGTAAGGTTTACTAAAATAATATGATCTCATTCGTTTAATTGCCTTGTAAATATTTTCTAAGGGGCTCTCATACACTTAGGAGAAAGAGAAGCAGATAGGTTTTCATAACTTATTCATAATGGTCTTAGGTCGTCAACCTTTTTATAATGGCCTTAGGTCGCCATCTTATTCATAACATATAGAGCGCGTCCGCCCTAATATAAGACACCCATATACTTAGCATATGATCATAGCTTCTTATCATAATGGCATCAAATGCCGAACATGCTCATCATACATAATAAAATCAAATCTCACATCAAATTCACACCAAGTATATTAGAGATCAAATCTCACATCAAATTCACACCAAGTATATTAGAGCCCAAAGTCCTTGTTTTAATTCTTAATTCATAACACTTCTTATAAAACTTATTTTATTCTTTAGTCTTCTTAAATTTATAATGTAGGCTTACTTTAGAACGTAAGTAACTCATAAAAATTTCATACTTACACATAATTACTTAACATAAAAAATTTTTTATCATAGGAAATCATACATGTAAGCTTACTTTAGAATTTAAGTGACTCATGAAAAATTTATACTTAAACATAATTACTTAATATAAGAAATTTCTCATAAATTCCTTTTCTTTTACAACTTTCTTAAAGTCATAATGCAATTTATCATAAGAAATTTCTTATCATATAAAATCATATTTTCCTTATTCAAAATTCAAAGGACATACACCTTAAATACTCATTTTTTTTTTAAAAACTTTAAACATATGAAAGTTATCAAAATAATCATACTTATGTCATATATATATCTATAGCATAACATAAAAAAAAAAAAAAAAATTAAGCCTTATCACCCTAAAGTGGTTCAGCCTCTTATTGAAAACCAAGGGAAGGGATTTTCTTCTCCAATCAAGCATGCTAACATAACTCTTATGCATCAAAGTATCCATTTCAACCCTCATCATGCATTATCTAAACCAATTCCACACTTTTTCTCGAAATTTCCAACAAGTTTTCCCATTTATATCCATTTAAACATATCTCCCATTTAATTTTATATCCATTTAAACATATCCACAATAACATTTTTCAAACTTGTCTTATTTTTTTTATCAAATAAATCCTAAAACATACAAATAATCAATAAAAACTTCCTCACACTTGATTCTTACATACTTTTATCTAAATAAACCTATGTTTCAAGACATAGAAATTTCTCAGCATTAGAATAAACTTGACCTTTGCTGCTGTGTTTTTAAGACATAACTTGAGTTATAGGTCTCCAAATTGAGTGATGTTAAATTCAGTAGAAAGTTAAGACAAAATGATACAAATGTTATGAGGGATCATAGCCCAGATCAATTTAAGATGATAAACAAATGCTAGGAACACAGCCCAATAGTCCAAACCTGATTCAGCAGAACCAAATCCAATGTTTATTAAATTGCTACTTATCCAAACACTCAAATTAAACCAATCCAAAACCAGAGAAGTCTTAAGAAAACCAATCCAAAACCAGAGAAGTCTTAAGATATAGGGCAAAAATTTTCATGAAGAACTCAGAATATAATCTTGCCATCATAGTGGTCAAAATGGGCACTCAATTCAAAGATGGATGTGGCCCAGCATAACAGAGTCAGTTTGGGTTTTTCAGCCATAAGTTGAGCTATATATATCCTAATTGGACACAAGATTATGAGTTGGAAAGCTAAGAAGTATACCTACAAATTTCATGAAGAGTTCAGACACAAATGGAAAACAAAAAGGATAAAAAAATAGTCCTTAATCTCACCCAATAACACAGTTTCACCAAATTTAGCTTACTTTAACCATGAAAGAGCATGAAAGGCAAAATTACATGGTAGAGATTTCTACCACATACTAAATACTCATCAAACATCACCTAAGAGCATGTTATTGCAACCAAAGTTCAACAAATCAATCATCCAAAGTTACCACATACTAAATACTCATCAAACATCACCCAAGAGCATGTTATTTCAACCAAAGTTCAACAAATCAATCATTTCACACAAAATCCCAAAATATATACATGATAGCATAAATGCACAAAATCAAAAATTAAAGTAAGGGAAGTGTGTTTATGAACACTAACCTTCAAAACAAGCTTTAATAAGCTTTAATCAAAGCTCCTTAAACTTTGTTTTTGCCCTTAACCTTGTAGAAGGTTCTCCACCCTTTGACCTAAGTAGAAAAATCACTAAATTCCTTAAAATTTGTCACCAAATAACACTTCTCTAGCTTCACTCTCTAAGATTAATTTCTTCATCAAGGTTTAATGGAGTGTATTTGATTTGTTTAGTAAGTGAGAATTGAAGAAAATCAAGGAGAAGAAGAAGAAGAAGAACACGCCTAAGGAGAAGAAGAAGATGGTTGCTCAATAATTGAAGGTTGACTTTTATAAAGCAACTAAAGGGTAGTTTGGTCTTTTTCCATAATTGGATGCTAGGATTGAGTCAATAGTAATCTAATCTAATGGCTACAAATATTCTCCACTTAAATTCCTTCAAAATATTATTTATCTCCACAAAATTCTCAAATTTACTCCATTCTCAAATTTACTCATAAAAAATAAATTCCTCTAATTTCCTTAACTAATAATTCCTTCAAAATATTATTTATCTCCATAAAATTCTCAAATTTACTCCATAAAAATAATTCCTCTAATTTCCTTAACTAATATAACATCATAATTCACTATTCACTAATTATACTTTCTACCCATAAAAATCATGCATACATACTTAAAAAATATTAAAGAAAATATAAAATATATATAGTAATTTTTTCGGACCAAAATAATACCGACTCCCGAATCGATAGTACTAGTCACAGATCGGTGGTACTATTCACAGATCGGTGGTACTATTCATAGACCGGTAAAAATCATTATCCATCTATAGTTAATTATATTCAAGATCTTCCTCG